TGACAATCAAGAATTGACTTGATTTTGATTTGAATTTCATATTTGCAAATATTTTTCTAAGAGCTTGAAGCTTTAATTTTATGTTTTGCAAAAGAGGAGGAAAAGTGTTGAAATCATTAAATTCATGGAGATTTGAGCTAAGCGTTAGAAATAGCCTTATATACATGTTTTTGGGAGTGTTTTTGTACATTAGAACATGTCATACATGAAATTTGGAACTTTGAATGTGTGTTTGAAGCTCAAACAGAACTCAGGAAATTCCAGAAATTTGGCAGACCGCTCGAGCGACTAATGTTGCGCTCGAGCGCTTTACAAGCATCCAGTACTTTTGCAGACTGAGGGGTTCGCTCGAGCGACCAATGTTGCACTCGAGCGAAGTGCCCTATTTCAAGAAATTTTGAAACAATGTACATTTTCGTTCTCTTCCATTTCTGAGCATTCTTAGGTATACATTGAGCATTTCAAATGAACTAAAGTGTTAGAAAGAAGCCTAAAAAAGTTAAACAAATAAAACAACGGATTGATTTTTATTGTGACTCAATTTCTATATGTGTTACGAATGGTGTAGGGTCAAACATTGTGAGTAATATCTTAGTAGAGATATTTTTGGTGTATGTGTCATTTTCTAAATGTTACTTATATGGTAAGTTAAACTTCCAAATTGGTACTATGAATGAGTAGTTTATCCATTTGATTTGTAATGGAACATGTAAAATGATTGATTTATGAGCATGAAATGGGCCCAAGGCCGTTCGATATGTTTGACAAGGATACGGATTGGAGCTAAGGCCGTTTTGTATGACTGTTAAATAGACCAAAGGTCCTTTTGAATAAGGAAATGACTGGAACGACGGTCGTTTTGAATACGAATACGAATTTGAATACGAAATGTTAGACCCAAGGTCTTTTTGTATACAATGGACCAAAGGTCGTTTTTAATACGAATACTAATGTGAATACGAAATGTTAGACCCAATGTCGTTTTGTATACAGTGGATCAAAGGTCATTTTGAATACAAATATGAATGTGAATATGAAATGTTGGACCCAAGGTCGTTTTGTATACAATGGACCAAAGGTTGTTTTGTATATAGTGGACCAAAGGTTGTTTTGAATACGAATACGAATGTAAATACGAAATGTTGGACCCAAGGTCATTTTGTATACAATAGACAAAAGGTCATTTTGAATACGAGTACAAATGTGAATATGAAATGCTGGACCCAAGGTCATTTTGTTTATAGTGGACCAAAGGTCATTTTGAATACGAATACAAATGTGAAAATGAAATGTTGGACCCAAGGTCGTTTTGCACATAATGGACCAAAGGTCGTTTTGTATATGAATTTGACCCAAGGTCATTTTGTATATGGATATGATCTATAAGCCTAACATGAATGAGAAGGTTATTTCAAGTGTTTAATTACAAGTATGATTTATTCAATGAACCTCATTCATTAACCCTTTACTATGGTATTATTCACTGGGCTCACTCTTTATTTATATGTATGTAGGTGAGCAGCATAATGCCCAACCCCAACCGTAATGAACCTAAGGAAGAATGTCAAGTTTTGTGGAGTCAGCCATGACACGACTCACGAACGAGGCCTTAATTTTAGAACTTTTATTTTGACCTTTTTGTCCTCTTTTGATGGTCATGTTTAACCTTATATGTATATAAGCTATGGTTTTGTATAAATATGGCGCTGGATTGATCTAGTCATATAATGTCTTTTATGTGGGCATGTTTGGTGTGAGTTATTAATATAAAAAAAGTTTTTGTTCATTCCATTTATGCACAAGCTCATTGGAGAAATATTATCTTTTTGCTTCCACTTTTGGCTCCATACGATTATTAAAAATTTGTTTTCTGTCTGAGGCCGTACGTAATCTAATTATTATTGGCCGATTATGATCCTAACCTTTAGGGGCAGGTTTGGGTCATGATAGAATGGTATTAGAGCACGAGTTAATAATTCACACACGTGTCCAATTAGTATTAATTAAGATGTCTAGAAAAGGATTAAGGTGCATCCATTTGATAAGTATATTCTTGTATGCACTGAGCATATGTGATTATTGTACCTATGTGTAAATATATGCCAATATTCTGTGGTTATTATGATATGAGTTCATATCAATTAAGGTGAGAACAAGGGCATATGAGAGGTTTAGTATTGTGAGAATTTGATATTGCAAGAAATTTGAAATTTTAATGAAAGTCTTGTTGGTTACAAGTATGTTGATTATGAGAATCTAGAATTATAAGGAATTGAAATCTTCACTAGAAGCCATGAAAATCATATGGGAATATTTGGGAAGTTAAGGTATTTGATGATCAATGGAGAGTGTGGAGCTATAGTGATTGAAAATTAGGAAACTGTTTGACTTGAAGAAGGTATTGGTTTGGTGAGGGACCTAATGTATGAACCGTAGAGCCTTATACCTTTGTTGAATGACCTTGAAAGTTCGATTGGAATCACGTTCGGCCGACATGGCTTTGAATCTGAAGTTCTTAGTAAATTCCATGGGAATGAATAGGTCACCCTACCAATGTCTTTGTGTGGTTGCATGATTTGTAATTAATTATGTATAATGTTATGTTTTATGTTAATCGATATTACCTCAAGTGTTACTCACTTTTGTCTTGTGTCTTTAGGAAAAGATGGTGAAATGTAAGGATGAAGTGGAAGTTGAATCCTTATCGAAGCGATTAGACAAGGTTGATGAAGTGATAGAAAATATGATGAAAGCTATGCAATCAGGTCGTGAGAAACTACACGATCAAAAGAAAAAGTTGAGTGTGAAATCAATAAGGGGACCAAAGAATGTGTTTCAGAATTTTTTGATAGAACAAGCAAGCCATCCTAAGCAAGGTCATAAAAGAAGTAGAGTTGCCCCAACATGTCCAATGTGTCATAAGCCTCATAGGCAATTGTGTCATCGACTCACGGGAGCATGCTTCGGATGTGGAGAAATAGGGCATTGAGTGAAAGATTGTCCAAAACCAAAAGGGTGTTCCAAATCACTTAATCAAAATGAAGGTTGGTACTTAATGGAAAAATCAATGAGGATATGGTTAGTACGTGCAAGAAGTCTTAAGTCAGAATTTGATATATCTACATTTGTTTTATTTGATTATTGAGAAATTATTAGAATCTATTTGCTCAGATAACTGAGACTTAACCCAAAATTATTTGTTTAGTCTGATTAAGTCATATGCATTTGGGAATATGTCTGAATAAAAGGAGAGTTATAGTACACATTAGAAGACTGACACCTAAATAAATTAGATAAGAATGACCCGAGTTACTAGAATCATATCACCATTAAAATGCCTTAAGAACATCGAAAGAGGAACAATTTTTTTTACTCAAGCTATGAACTTAAATAGGTTGGACTCTCAAAAAATATAGTAATTTCCATATATGAATAATGGTTAAACTGGAATTATGTAATGGGTTAAAAGTATCCCTACCTCAAGATTGAAGACAAAAAGTTGAAGACCCAACTCTAAACTCCAAAATAGCACGAAACAATCGGTAGATCCTTTGAGTAAAGCTTGTTCTCCAGCCCCTTAGGAAAATCTAGGATGGATCTTAGTAAAATTTAAAAGAAATCAAGTGTTTTAGGACTAAGGTTTCGGAAATGGGTGATAAAAAGAGAAAATGTGTGGAAAAAAATGAGAGAAAAAGTGTTTAGATTGACTTTTAAATACGCTGTCTCGAACAGACCGCTTGAGCGAACTTTCCACCGCTCGAGTGATGTGTCAAATCAAAGAGACCACTCGAGCAGTAAGTGCAAGGTCTCAGAAGTTTTGCAGAGCTACAGTGAAAATACTAGGAATGTCATTTTTACGCTCGAAAGACCACATTACCGCTTGAGCGGTCTCGCCTACTGGAAGCCTCATCCACTCAATCGACCGATTGACCGCTCGAGCTGTCACCCATAACAGATTGTTACATTTCATACTCTCAAGTTTGTCACTATCATCCTCAATAGGTCCACACAAATATTTACAAAATCATAGGTCTTCCATTTCAGTTTTTCAAATTACACAATTGTTTCCATTGGAGCTAGTTTTATGACCTACATTCCCCTCCATTGATTTACACAAATTAACGAACCCAAATTAACTGTAAGCTCTGATACCAGTTGTTAGGGAAATAAATGATTTCCCACAAGTAAATCAATCAAAGGAAATAAAAACTAATGCGGAAAAATTTAATCAATAATGACACAAGAATTTTTATATGGTTCCCTCAATATGAGGTACATCTACGGGGCTGTAGTTTAATTTCACTATCAACCAAAGGTTTTCAAACGATTATAAATGAGACATAAATGGTCTCACAAAAGACAAGGGCTTTTTTGGCTATTTTAGCCACAACAAACAAAACATCACATCCAACCCATAATCATTACACTCTTCTCTCACAAAAAAAAAACCAAAAAAGCAAAAAAACCCTTCACAAACCAAGCTTTCTAGCCTAGGCTAAAATAGCTAAAAAAGTCAAAAAACTAAAAAGTCAACTCACTTTCCAAACGGAGGCTAAGGTGAATTCCAAATAATTATAAATAAATAGAGGCAAGACTTGATCAAAATAGATGCACAAATGTCCTCCAAACAAGTTATAGAAGACCCAAGATAATAGATCAAAATAGGCACCACACCTTCGAAGCAAACCCGAAGCAGAAACTAAAGCCCAAAACCAGAGCACTGGTTCTCTGCCACTCTAGCCGAATACACACAACAGCACTTAGCTTGTGTAACAAAACAAACGCATTAATTGATTGAGAATAGGAAGCTTATTGCACGAGAACAAAATCCACCGAATAATTGTTATATATAAAATATATCAACATTAGTAACACACCTAATAAACCTCTTGGACTTTCCTTAAAACCTTAGCTGTCACTAAACAAATTTTAAATACTCATTGGGTCTCTAAAAATCGGACATAATATATAAAAATATATATTATAATCCACACCAAACCAAAATAAATATTCTTTTAATAAATTAATTGGGTCACATATTCCACTAACCAACAAATATTACAAAAGCTGATAAGATTGTCTACAAATTGAAGATGTGTTGTCTCACCTTCTTTAACAAGATTCAAGCTCCTTTTAGCTGCATCACTCACTTTAGTTGCACGTGTTGAATTCACAAACAAATAATAAAATAGTCACAAAGGAACCTTTTGTGAATATTATGCGATTTGTATTCATGCATGTATCTTTTTTAGTTCTGAAATGGAAGGGGGAGATTCAAAGGCAAAGCAAGTCAGGAATGTGGGTTCGAATTTAGAAATTGGTGGATTAAAAAAAGCTTTGATTCCTCTCCCCAATTATAGATTATGAAAGATGAGGGTTTCTATAGCTTGACACATCAGATATGACGACTGGTTCTAGTAATTGATTATTTGTTGCCATGTTTGAATGACCATCCAACTGATCATCCACAAGCTTAACCAACTCAATTGACAAGTCCTCATGGTTTGTAGTTGAGTAGCCTTCCTTTACCTGATGACGGCGTTGATAAAACCGGTGAATGAAGAATAAAAGACAACAAATAGTAGAAGTGATACCGGAGAAGGCATAAAGACCCCAAAAACTTTGCCAGTTCAGGTTGTCATTTGTGATGGTAGTTTGGGATGCTAAACATTCTTTCGAGGGGGTGAACCACTGAGCTTCTAATTGTTTTAGCTTTTCATTTTCCGATAAGGTAAGAATGGCTTCAGAAACACTAGCAGCTATTGGAGAGTCTTTCTGGAATACCTGGGTAAAAACCACGAGTAAAATTTGAGTAATGATATATAGAAACAAAAATGGTAAACTACACTAAAATCCTTTTAGGCTTAAATATGTATATACAGATATCGATCTTTACAAGTTTGACTCGCTGGAAAGAACATAGCGCTTTGTCTTCTTTTAATCAGACCATGGTCATTATTATTGTTATTTTTATATGATGGGTCTGACATAGGTTGTTCATTGAATAAACAAAAAAGGTGTAAACAAATAATAACAATAATAATTGGTGAAATTTGTAATACATAAAATAAAATTAAAAAACAAAGAGGATACATTATACTGATCTCCTCAAGATTGAAGAAAGTTTAGCAAATTTCATAGTTTTGATATAATTATACCGACTTTCCTTACAGTAAGATTAAAGTGACTGAAACTAATACAAATAGTGTGAAAATACAAAAACTAGTAAGATTATATATATTATTATTAAAAGATGAAAATATCATTTTTTTCATTCATACAATTAATGAATTAATGATGAAAAGATGGATAAGTGTTACATGAATTAAAATATTAAGACATTAAGTAAGCCTAATGTAATTATGGCAAATTTATAGGACTTGCAGTTTCACCAAATTTTAAAACAAGTTGGTGTAAGGGGTCCAAAATGAACAATAATAGTAGTATCACTTAGAGAGGCAAAACTATGTTGACAGTCAATAATTCGAGGAACACTCGACAGTGAGTAGACGAGTGAGAGTAAAGCAAGTGGTTTAGGAAGGAATATATGGCGGTGGAAAAATGAGCAGCACCTTCCAAAATCCCCAGAAATTCTCCTCAAAAGTTCTCCTAAGAGTTTTCTCCTGAGTTATCAAACCTTCGAAAAATGGGTTTATTTATATGTTTTTCCTTGGTGCTGATCATACCAAATAGCCAACTAGAGTGATGACACGTGTCCCTGAGGATTACACAAATATTCCCTATCCAAACCGCCAAGCTTTGGTGGAAACGTGTCCCTCGGTATGTACTGTTTTTCGTGTGTACCCTGGAAGGTGTCATTTTTGGTACGTCCCTCAAAAGATGTCATTTTTGGTACTTTCTTTGGTTGTACTTCGCATGGCACCTCCTTTACTCAATACAATATTCCAAAACATACCTTCTTAGGAGTTACAGCTTGCTATCACCCATTCTTGTATTCACCTCAGTAACTCCTCTACTCTTAGCCTCTTAACTGCAACCTCTGAACTTCTTAATGCGGAGGCCATAGCAAGGCTTGGTTTATATCGTCTTGTGCCTTGTACAAAGCCTTAGAGGGCTTCCTTGGTCCTGCTAGTGCGACAGAGGCATGTCCTTAGCCTAGGTAAATGGAAAAGAGAGTCCCTTGATTTCAGGCTGCTTTGCATCTATCTTCATGAAAGTTATAAGTCACGTACTGGTACCTTTAGGGCTCGTTTATCAGCACCAAAATTGTGAGCTTTGGGATCTGCAATCAGCGCCATGCTAGTAATGCTTTGGAGTTTACTATTAGCGCCAAGCATTAATCTCTTTCTGTAGAAATGAGGCCCCACTCAAAGGTTGCCATCACCTTGAGGATTCTTGCCTCAGAAAGTAGTTATTGAGGTTGCTAACACCCTAGACACTTCCTTCAAGAGATGTCCTCATTTACTTGCATATTGGAGACGGTGTCGAAATGGGCTTCCAGTAGGGTGGTGCCTCAGTGGGTCACCTTAGATACTGGGTTGTTATAGGTCCCACTTCAGATGGTTACCTCGGATACTTCTACCACAAATGGTCCCTTTGGATCCAATGGGTTGAACCCCATTCAATTCTCCTTTGGCCTACCTTCCTTAGGGTTTTACCCATATTTCTTTAATCATAATTGCTACTTTAATCAAGGCAACCTCAGGGGCCAAATCAGCACTTATGATTTCAGCCTCTCTATATTTTCCTCCTGCACGCATTGGGAACATAAGTTTTCCCATGCGTGCATGATGTCACCTTCAACTGCAAACTTACATTGCTTCTAAAAAGACATGTTGAGTTCTGAGACTGTGCAACCTCTAAAACGACATGATGATTATGAAAAGTCATGATGACTCTTGACTTCCTATAAATGAGCACTTGGGTCCCAATGGGTCTCCACATTTCCTTATCCACTCTTGCTTTCTCTCTTCTTGTCTCTTTGCTCCTGAAGTCTTTCCCCATTTCTCAAAGTTTTCTATTTTTTCCAAGGTTTTCACACATGGCGAGAAACTAAGTTGGCGAGGTTAGCATTTGTAGGGGGATTTTCTTGGCCAATATGCCAATACCTGTTACTATTAAGTGAAGAAAGGTTCCCCACCTTATGGGTCTTGCTGACTTGTTTTAGAGGTCAACGGATGCTTTTGTCCCCATTGCCCTGTCATGGAGGGACCTTTACTCCTCCTATTAGAGGCAAGCTTAGAGGATGCAAACTTGGTAGCCCCTTCCTCTGTCCTTCACTTTGAGTGAGTGGACTTTCCTTACTCATTCATCTATTATAGCACCCATTCGGGTCCCTTGGCTAGATGGGCCCACTAGGTAGACGATGTACTCAGCGATGACGTCCTTGGACAATGCTTGAGGGACGTCCAACTCCTCAATGTATTGTTATTTTCAGAGATCTATCTATTTGGAAATCCAGATCAACACTGATGCCATGGTCTCTCAATGGAGCCACAGCACCCATACTTTTGTTCTATCCTAGAAGTGGTTCGCCCCATTTTGGAGGATGTGGCATTTTTGATGCAGATTACTGTACGAGGTGATCATACCTTTGACATTGCCTCTCTCACTATTGACGAACAATCTTTAGTCACTGCTCTTTAGGCCACCGTCCATGAGTGCTGGAAGTAGGGTTTGTGGTATGATGACGTCGACGAACTATAGGTAAAGAAGCCAGAAAGGGACAAAACCGCTTATGCTTCTTGGTTGAGGCATTTTTTCAAAACCTTCCAATTACCTTAGGGCAACGTTACTGAGGTCGACCGTTGCTTCGTCGAAGGCGCTAAATATTGCAGTAATCTCTATTTGGCTTGTTTTGTGCACTACTTTGTTACCATATTCATTTTTCTCAACAACCCTACCGACACTCTCAACCTACTAGTATTTCCCTTGGTTATTCGCTTTTACAGCGACTCCCGAGTGCCCTTGGCTCCTCGTTTTCTTAAGAATCTCTTCTTTCGCCTAAACTTTGATCCATACTGACATGGCGTGGACACTTGGTTGTGATGATGTGAACAGCTTCATACACCCCAGTTTCTTTCCACTTTCTTCTACGACTGGTTCCCCGCAAGTGGCCTCAATCCCAAAACCTTCCATCCTACCTTCACAGAGGCAGTCCTTTACGATCAAGGCAACCCAATCTTGGACACTGAAGGTAATGCGATGACAAAGACCATGAACACTTCCTTGGGGCAGATTTCTCCCTAGTCTGACAATGACTACAACAAGCTTTTTTCTGATTACATTGACGATATCAATGAGTATGTATTTCGTCCCCACACTCATCATCTTCCTGGGAATCTCAAGGGCCCCCTTTTGCTTCTCTTCCGCAAAACACTTGGATTTTAGTACTATAAGCGCCATCCATAACAACGTTGTCCTGATTGTCTCCATGATACACCTGAGGTACCTTTCTATTTGGTAAGAGAAGGGTATTTCAAGTGTGGTATATGACCTAGATAGGTTACTATGTCAGTTTGGCATGGACCAAGGCATTTCTCATGATCCTCCACTGCCTTAAGATTTCCACCGAAGTTTTCTCTGTTTTGTTTATGACTGCACTGATATACTTTGTGAGGGTCTAACTCGCTAGGAGTTACTCTTTTCGTGTAGAAAAGGCTCATTCACACCACGTAACTGGTTGTATTAGTGTCAAAACCTTGATTCCTTCGTAAACTTTTGCGCTATTATAGAAGCTATTCCCACAAGAGACTTATCTTTCCATCTTCCTTATGCTCGCGGTCAATGACTTTATGGAAACTTCAGTTACTTCAAGTTACTGGCCTTTGCAACTCATCAAAGGCTTCACAAGATTCTATTTTTGCTTTGCAAAATCCTACTCCAATAGAGACACCACCGACGGAATCTCTCCAAACTTAGCTTCTTTCTCATCCTCAAGTCTCCTGCATAACTTGTTTGCAAGTTATAGCTGAGATTCTTGGGGCAAGTGCCTCGCCTTCCAAGAAAAGACTCATGAGGTACCATCATACTTAGTATAATTTTCTTCACTTAGCACTCATTTGACTTTAGTTGCTAATAAGTGTGTCTTTCTTGGTTTAGGGCCTATTCATCTCGGAGAGGGACAGTGTCTTCTCTATTCCTCCCTTAGGTTTAGGTGGCCCATCCAATGTTGTGAGGCTTTCTTTAGACTCCGATGGTGGCGATGATGTACCCATTGGCTTACTACATCATTGGCCCAAAACTCAAAGAATAATGACTTCTGGCACCAGAGAAGGATGGCAATGAAGAACTCCTTATTAACGATGTAGTGGCAACGGAAGGTAGCGGTGACACCTCCCCTACTAGGAAAGATGAAGTCGTAGGGGGTGCTTTAGGCCTAGTGACCCCCAGCTCTGCCAACTTTAGTTCCATTCCTGATCCAACTTTCCCTTCTGACTATTTTTCCTTCTATGGTGATGTCTATGTTCTAAAGACCCCTAGGAATGGCCATAGGGTGGATACATCACTTGGGCTTGAGTTGCCCAGTGTGAAAGCTGCTTCTGGGGGTTCTTTTCATTATACCCGATCTTCGGTAGTTCCAAAGACTGAAGTGGTTCGAGCCTAGGTTGTTGAAGAAGTTAAGAACATCACCGCTAACCTTAGCATTACTCCTCCCGGCTTAGTTCATCTCATAGAATTGGCTATGAACTTGGAGGCCACCACTGCTGCTACTGGAACTTTTAACCCTATTGCCTCTGTAACTTCTGAACAACTTGTTGATCTGTACCCTACTCACTTTCGTGAGCTACCTCCAAACGAACTTGTGTCTTAGGACCTTTTTG